CCTCTTTGTCTACAGCCTGGCCACACCAGTCTTCACATCCCGTCTTTGCCTTTGTGCAGGCTTGCCCCACGCCAGGAATCCTCTCCTCATCTTCACCTCTTTGCACCCTTGGATTCCTTTAGGACTCAGGACAAGTGCCGCCTTCTGCGGGAGGCCTTTTCTGGTCTCCTCTCTTCCCCGTTCCTGGAGCCTTCCATTCTGAGGCTGCGCTCTCGTTTACGCTCCATGGGTCTTCTGTGCTCCCATTTGTGTGCGTGTTGTCTCCTCCATTAGAATGCGAGACCCTTGTGTGCAGGGACAGTTTTCTGGGAGGGGAGGGGAGGGGAGGGAGGTCATGCCCAGTGCTTAGCACAGCATTTGGCACGTGGTGTTGAATAGATGCTCGTTTGTTGATTGAAGGGCCAAGAGTTGGTGCCATATGAAAAGTGACTGATGGAAGGGAAGTTTGCCCAGGAGGAGATTTAGGGGGGCATGATAGCTCTCTTCAGGTATTTGGTTGGGAACTGGTTTGGCCTGAATGGCTTATGAGATTCCTTCCAATGCTGAGATTCTCTGAGACGCTGGAGTTAGTGTCTAGAAGAGATTCTACATGGGAATAGCACTGAGCATGAGCAGCATCATTAAGCTGTCTAGGCAGCGATGGTTCTGTTGTATTAGACTGAGCAGAGGAAGCTGGACGCGCTTCATAGTTCCCTCAGGGGTCTTTGTTTCCCTTTCCAACGTATGTCCTTCATTAGCAACCCCACCATTGCTCCTTCACCCTCACCAAGGCCGTTGTCCACCTTGTTGCTTCACCCTCCAAACCAAACCAGAGACCATTGCTGTTGCAAGCTAAGTGTCTTCTTTACTCCTGACCCCTCTACCTTTCCTTCTTCTAGAATTTGAATCTTGAAAAGGGCATCTCCAGGGACTGCCTTATCATTCCGTTTGCTACCTTTATGACGTTCCAGACTATAGCTTCCACCAGGCCCTTATGTGTATTATTTTTTCCCCTGGAATGTAACCGGATTCTGTTTTCCAACCCAGATGTTACACTCCTTGAGGGCAGGCAACATGCCCACTGCCTTAGTGTTTATTCAGCACACCGAGCAGTCAGTAGTGCTTGATACATGCTTTTCACCTATTCATTCTGTGATCACTTTAACAAACTTAATAGAATTGGCTGCTTCCTTAAATTGTGGCCTAATGACATTTTCAGTTTCACTTTCTTCATCGGTCTCAGTTTCTACACTTCTTTTTTTAAATAATCTGACGTTTGAGCAGACGGTGGCACCGTAGTGTCCTAGAATCTTTAAGCCCTCAAGTTATCCCTTGTTTTTGAAATCACCTCTTGGTTTAAGACCAGCAGCCCTAGTTGAAAGTGGAAACTGGGCAATAACAGTTTCCAAGATTTCGTTTCCTGCTGTTTGGTGATAATCCTGGGCTCGGCTTCACTGTCTGGGTAGACTGACTTCTTAGCACTTTGCTGCTGTCTGCTTCTGCCCTTTTCTGCAGTCTATCTTGGGCTGTGGGCAGGCTCTCTATTCATTTAGAAGCTTGCTTCAGAAACTGACGTCTTGTTTCTGGAATGCTCTTTTGCACTGTGCTCAAGAACATTTTCCCAGTTTTTGGTGTAAACTCTGAGAGAGCTATCTCAGCTTCATTCTCATAGATTTGTGTTAAGTTTGGCATGAAATCCAGCTTTGGTGTGCTGGTAACGCCACTCAGGGACCGTCTTTCCCCCACCCTCACCCTACTTTTGTTTGCTAGCATTCAGGTCGTCCCTCTGCTCAGTACTGATCTTTTTCAAAACAAGATGTTAAACATCTTGAAGGCAGGCATCATACCTATCATCTTCTGTCTCTTTAGCACCTAGCACATGAAGCAACTTAGGATGTTTATTGAATGCTTCATGGATGGAACCCTGTGTATGAGTGAATGAATGAATAGGGATTAAGGAGATATGCTTAATATGATACTGTGAAAGGACCACTGTACTAAAGGTCTGGAAACCTTGATGCTAGTCCCAGTTTATGCCATTAACTAAACATACGAGACTTAATTTTTATTATGTCTTTTTTTTTTTTTAACTTTGCCTAAATTTCCTCCTGCATCTGTCCACCTCCTTCTTTCTCGGAGAACCATCCCTATATAACAAGGATTTTGTTTTAAGAAAAAGAGAAATTCTGCTGATTTTTTTCAATTTTTTTTTATCACTATGCTGAAAAAATCTGACAGTCCATGCAATGTGTGCCACACCAGTGGACTCCTCACCTCTGCACAGATGGGGGCAGGAAGGCATCTTCTCATAGCTCTTCTTTGGGATCATGCTTATTCCTCATAGTTTTATAACATTAACTTTCTACTTAAAAATAATTTTTATTGATAGATTTATTATATCATCTAAATCTCACGCAGTATACCCCATCAACCCCATCCCATATTAATAAATAATATTTTTTAAAAATTAAATGGGGAAGAAGAGGGAAAAGAAAACCCAGCAAAATCAATATATCGAAAAAAACTGAAAATTTATACAGTGTACCACAGCCATGGATCTCCTGCCTCTGTAAGGGAGTGGATAGAGGCCTCTTCTTATGTCTGTTCTTTGGGTCCAGGCTTGTTCTTTGTAATTTCACAGTATTAACTTTTGATTGCTTTGTGGTATTCTTTCCATTACATTGTGTAGTCATTGTGTATGAATCACATTGTGTAAATCTTCCCATGCTTCTCTGTATTCATCATACTTACTGTTTCTTACAGCACAGTAATAGTATAGCCATGTATCACAGTTTGTTTAAACATTCCCCAATCAATAGAAATCTTGGTTGTTTCTAGTTCTTTGCTACCACAAAAAGTGCTGCTATAAATATTTTCGCTGTTATGGGGACTTCCTTCTTATCAATTATTTCTTAGTAATATGGAATCTCAGGGTCAAAAGGCGTGGACATTTTAGTTGCTTTGTATAATTCCAAATTCCTTTCCAAAATGGTAATACTGATTCACACTCTACCAACAATGCATCAGTGTGTCTAACTTCCCACAACCTCCCCAACATTGAGTGTTCCCAGCTTTCGTTATCTTTGCTGCTTGTGAGATGAACACACCTCTGTAGCCTTTGACACTGGCAGTCACCCTCTTTTCCTGGATATACCCTCTTCTCTTGGTCTTTGTGACACTGTGCTCTGTTAGTTCTTCTGCCTGTCTGATGGCTCCTTCTCAAGTCCCTTTTGCATGTTCTTCAACTGCCATACTCATTAACTGTGGATATCTCCCAAGGCTTTGCCTTTGCCCAGCTTTTCTTCTCCCTCTAAACTGTGCCATTTCATTATGTCATCAGTTCCCATGGGTTCCCATATCTATATATCTCACCCTAACCTCTACTAGTCCCCCATTACAACCTCGTTGTCATCCTTGGATCCTCACTCATACTCACCCGACGTCCTGTCATCTTGTCATTTCTGCCTTTTCGTAACATATCTCTCCTACATCCTCAGCTACCATCTTGGTGCAGGCCATCACCACCTCACACCTGGAGTATTGTACTAGTCTTCTGGCTAGGCCCTGCCTCAGGTCTCTTCCTTTTCCAGTCTATCTTTCACTCAGCTTCCAAAGTAATTTTCCTTTCAAAATGATTTCAAAGCATAGATCTGACAACATTCTTCCTCCCTATTCCTCCAATCTAGTAAATTCCCAATAGCTCCACACTACCTCTGAGATCAAATATACATACATATATACATATGTATGTTTACATATGTACACATACATTTATGTATATGTCTAGATATATAGATGGATAGATAGATAGATAAGTGGATGGATGGATGGTTGGTTTTTTAAAGCCTTCACAACCTTGTCCCCCTTCTCCATTGCCTATTTTCTTATACATCCTTCCTCTCCACGTGTGGTTCAGCGGCGCTCACACACAACACTGCATCTTCTCACTCCATGCATTTTCACTGGCTGTCCCTCATGTCTAGAATGCTCCCCAATCTCACAGTCTTTGTGTCCTGCCTTCCTTCAAGACTCTGCTCACGTCCCATCTTCTGCATGAGGCCTTCTCCGTTTTCCCAACTCCTAGGAGGCCTTCCCCCGAGATGACCTTCCATTCACACTGTTTCTGTTTTGTTTGTACATCGTTGTTTGCATGATGTCTCCCTTTTTAGACTGTAGGCTCCTGAGGGCAGAGCTTGGGTCATTACCTTCCTTTACATCCCCGTTCTTCGTGCACTGCTTGGCGCATGGCTGGTGCTCAGATTATGTGTCCCTTCTCTTCACCAGGCTGGCAGTGAACGCACTTTTGTGCGAGGGACGCTCAGTAAGGAGTGCTGTGGTTGAGTTGGACGCGTCCACCTATTTTTAGTTCCCTTTCTTGCTCTCAAACATTATCATCATGGGGCTATTGCTTGGTTGAGCGTAAGTTGTCCTCGGAGCCCATTAGAAAACTGGCTGGTCAAAATAAGAGGCTGCTGCTGGAGTTTCCATTATGCAGCATAAGACAGTCTCTCTTCTACTGCAAGATTGCTCCTTGTGTGCCTTTAGGCAGTCTTTATGTGCCTCAGGAATCCTAGGAAGGGAGAGATGGGGACTGGGGGCTTAGGTGTGTTTAAGAAGGCTACATGGAAGAGGCAAGTCTAGACCTAGGCTTGAAAGGAATTGAGCCACAGGACAAATGGACCAAGAAGGGCCTTAATAAGACAAAAGTTAGATTTGTGTTACATGTGTATGTGTTGGGGGGTGGGGTCCTAAATCCTGGCAGCAAAGGAACTTCATATTAGGGAGTAGTGCAAGAAAAGATTATAAAAGTGAAACAGGTCTTCATTAGGATTAGGAAAACCTTTCATTGCTTTTTTTCTTAACATACACAAAAATAACCCTTATCTTCTGCCCTCTCTCAGTGAGGAAAGTGAGGGAGACACAAGCGATTATTTAGAGACTGACAGACTGCATTTGCAGTGTCCACACCTGGGGGTGATAGACCTGGGCAAATATTCAGATCCTCCTGTCTTGTTTTTTAGGGTGCTCGGGAAACCTTTGAAAACTACTACAGGAAACAGAGGCGAAAACAGGCCAGGCTGGTGCTTCAACCGCCATCCAACATGGTAGGACTCATGCATATGCTTTCGTCAAGCAGCTGCCCCATGGGAGATTCTAACATCATCTCAAGGGGGTTGTATGTGGGTGGCTCATTGTGTCTTGAGCCTACTTGGCTTTCATCTCAAAACTTTTATTTGTTTTTTGTTTTGTTGCAGCACGAAACTTTAGATGGCTACAGGAAATATTTTAATCAAATCGTAGGGTAGGTATTCTTTTTGTATTTATATTCTCTTCATATAAGCAGATGTTTGGGGTTTGTGTAAAATAGATGATGTATTTCCTCAAAAAAAAATATATGCACACATGTATATATAGAGTGTATATACATATATATACATATATATATACACACACACACACCATATATATATGTATGTACACAGAAACACAGACACACAGACAGAAACACACATACATATATATGTATAAATATAAGACTCTTGAGCTGACAAAACACAATTTTAGTTTCCCTTAGCGTATCTAGAAAGAGGTCTGTTGACTGACCCACTAGGTGACTCTAACTTTGGTGTGTATTTTGGGGGGAGATGCTGAACTCTGACCTTAGCTCCTTTGTTAGTTACTCTGTTCAAGGGAATGGAACTGAATGTCATGTGTAGCCGTGCATCCCCTATATTGCAGTTATGTTTTTTTTTTCCAGAATCAAAGAAAGTGGCCTAGCTATGTGAGAGATGGGAGCCTTTGTTTGGCATGATAGTCTTCTCTTGGAGATTCTGAGTGGTGATTCCTTGTGTTAGGGAAAGCAAAGGAGGATACTAGCCAGTGTTGTAACAGAAATATGAGAAGACAGCAAATGTGGTGAAAACAAATGTGACAAAAAGTAAAAACTGATGTCCAGAAAAAGTTACTAGAAGATGAAATAATTTTGCAGAGAGAGAAAGGAAATAGTAGAGTCATCATGATTGTTGAGAGAAGCCAGCTTAAAATCTAGGGAGTCAGGAAACTCTTAACCAGAATGAGTTATTTAGTGACCACTTGTTCAGTCCTGTTGGACTCTTCATGGTCCCTTTTGGGGTTTTCTTGGCAGACATACTGGAAGGGTTTGCCATATCCTTCTCTCTAGCTCGTTTTACAGATGAAGACCTGAGGCAAACAGGGTTAAGCTAGCAAGTTGTCTAAAGCTGGATTTAAACTCAGGAAAAGAAGTCTTGCTGACTCTGGGCCCAGTGCTCTGTGCACTATGGCACACCCTAGCCCCTTTGTGACCAGTAACAGTCACTGTCATAGACGAGGTTGGATAAGAATGGAATGCCCCCCAGTTCGGGCAGTATGAGGATGTTGATGGAACTTGGACATTTGACCTTGAGCAGGCTTGTCGAGGAGGGGTCAGTGAGCAGCGCACAGTGCCGGCTAGCCTCAGGCACTCAGAAAAGGCACATGGAAGAGGGATTACTTGTCCTGCTTAGTTCCAGAGGGCAGAACTGAGAACAAGGGCTGGTGGTGTTAAATGGGTATCTCAGAGCTCAGTGTCGGAAGTACTTTGCTCTGCACACTCATCTAATCCTGTTCATTTCCCAGCCCTTCTTTAGGGAATTCTCTTGAGGAAGATCTCTTCTTCATTTGTGTTGGATTCCCAGGACTAAGCATTGATAAAATACATTGAAATAGGGTTCCCTTTTGTCAGCCAAAACCTGCCAAGTTTCCACCTTTGGATGAAACAGGTTAACACAAGCGTTGGGATTGAGGAGCAGTAAGGGGGATGACAAAGCCAGCCTTCGCACTGAACATGGATAGCTTCTGTTCTATGACAGTTTCTATTAGCATATAGGATATTCCAAGGACTGTTAACTCATTTAATAATTAATCCAGTGATGTGTTCATTGAAGTTTAAACTCCCTGTCACTGGCATATAAAATAAGTTAGTTATTTTGTGGGATGTTTTTTGTAAAGTATTTTGTCATCATGTTACTTCCTTTATGAGGGAAGTGATTTTATTTCCTGTCTTCATTCTTTAATTTTTAAAATCTAGTATCTGGTTTCAAAGTGTCCCACCCCAAGTCCCATAAGAAGGTTTTTATTTTTTTTGAAGATCTGATGTGTACGTGTGCATCACAATTGGACATTTACACATCCCCGTATCTATTTCTCACTTAAATTGATGTATATAACATTTCATAGCAGTGCAACTTTAGTCTCTTCAGCAACTACTCAGGAGATGCACACATGTGCAGGGATGTTTCTACTAGTGAAAGAAGTCTGATCCCCATTATGAGGCCACACAGTTTTTCTGCAAGAAATAAATTGACCATTAACTTTACTAGAGGATGCTAGCTTTGTCTTTGCCGCACGTGATGTTTGTCCAACCTGGAGATAACGTCCAGGCTCTGCAATTTCTGACAGCTGTGCTTGCTTTTCCTCGTTCTCAGTTTTTTTGTGGTTGAAGATCACATTTTACATACGACTCAGGGCTTAGTGAACAGAGCCTACATTGATGAACTATGGGAAATGGCCTTGTCAAAAACCATCGCTGCACTTCGGACACACTCGGTAAGTGAGCAGCCTCTGAGGGGTCTGCTCTGACTCTCACTGACCCCCTGAGAAGGCCTTTCTTCTGATTTTTCTTGAAGTGCAGTGCACAAGGACATGTTGAACGATAGGTGCCCCTTGAAGGACTATATCCTTTTACTCCCTTGGTGGTCATAGTCTCCAGTATTGAGCTCACCTTTGACTGAAGGTCCAAGTTGGAAATTGTGATTCCGTGTTCTGTACCCTGCTTTCATTTTGAGCTCGATTGACTTTTCAAGACATGCCAGTAGAGGGAGCTTGACCATTCTCAATCAGGTTGGCAAGTCCTGAATATGATGGCTATGGAATTATAGAATTAAGGCATTTTAGATTTGGAAGAGACTATGTATAATTAAGTGAAGGATACTCATTTTGAGAAAGGACCAGGAAAATGCCAAGAGGAAAAAAAAACACACACAAGTTCTTGCTCCAGTATTTTTATACAATATGCAATTGGTGAGGGAAGGACCAAATTTCTTTTGGGCAGACTTTGTTGGACCTTGAGTTCCGATTTAATGAGCCACAGGCATGCTTGTGGAGCTCAGAATGAATACAACAGCTTTTTTGTTTTTAAACAGTTGCTCTGATTTCATCAATTAAGTGGAATTGGTCTCTGAAATAAGTTGAGTTATCCATGAAAGTCTTTGTTCAGTTTATCTGAGCAGTAGCTTCAGTGTGCCCACAAGAGACACACTTGGTGTTACTCTGAAAGCCAATCTGGATAACGATGGCTGTGCCTTTAAGCTGAATTCCAGCCCTGTCTGCTCATATGATCCATGTTTCAAAAAAAAAAGAGGGGGTGGACAAAATAAGGAGTGAGCTCTTGTCAGGTCACTAGAGCTCCTTTTTCGCCTTGTGGCTGTATTTGCTCAATATGACTGAGCCACACCCCTGCGTATCAGAGGGGCAGCAGCACTGTGCCAGAAGTTTTGGCCACCACACTGCAGTGTCTGCAGATCAGGGGTAGAGCAGCCACGGCCAGATTGGCGGCTCATTGAGCCGGGGGGTATTGCTGACTCTGTTACTCTATTGGAGTCTGTGCTTTGGTTCCTCAGTGCTGAGTTAACAAAGGAAGAAGAGAAAGCTTTGGTAATGATAGACTTTCAGAGCTGCAGAGAGACTTTGACAGCTATCTAGTGTCCCCTGTTCATTTTATGGGTGAACCCATTCCGTTTCCCAGAGCAGCTGACTAACCCGAGATTTCACAGCCCGTTAGTGCCAGACCCTGGGTTAGGATCCCTGCCTCTTGGCTGTCTGGCGAGTTCTCTTTTCACTCTACCGTTTAAGCCAGTTGACTTTGCATTTCCTTGTGGCTAGCGCTTGTCCTGAGAGAGACATGTGCTTTCTTCATCCAGATGTGCCTGATGGGGCCATGGGTCAGTTATTTCTGTAAGAAGTCAGGCCCTACCTCCATAGCATGTGCATGTCTCTGCACCAAGCCATATGTATTAAGAACAGGAGGAACTCCTAGGTTGACTTTGAAGGTAGGTACAGATCAGGAATGGAACTTTCCAGAGTTGTAGGGAAATAGGGAGAGCTTTTCTTTTCCTATTAAAGTAATAATATAGAAGAGCTGCCTAACTTCCCTGGACCTTAGTCTCCTCTCTGTGATAAATGGACCCATCAGGGGCCCTGCCCAAGGGGATTGGTTATTATAATGGTTGTTCTTCCTTCCCCCATAGTGCCTAGAGGCAGGCCAGTCATACTGAGTTTGATTTTGCAGATGTTTGTTGGTGATGTTGGAGGAACCGTGAGAATCCATCCTTTTCAATTCCCCGTTTCTGAGCAGGGCATAGAATTGGACATTCTTAGGGCTCCAGGGAAGGAGAGACTCCCATGCCTTATGAGGATAAAATTGAGAGAAATGCTGTATGCTAAGAGCACTGACTGTGTCTGAAAGACTCAGACACTCGCCAGGCCCCGCTTTCTCAAATGCAGACTCTTGCAGGTATGCACAGGGCCCTTGGGAGGGCTGTGTATGCCCTGCTGCTGTTGGTCAGCAGGCCTCGCTCTCCAAGATGCTGTGTACGGAAAGAGGCCTCTGGCCTTTGGGACTCTCCCTTCAGGTGGCCTATGGAAGTATCATTGGAAAGCGAGGCTTTTCTACCACTAACCATCCCCTCTGGATCTTCTGAGTCTCAGTTGTATGACTTGAAACCAACTTGCAAAAATTTGAGCGTTCTTCAGGCCCTGGGATGGTGCGCCTCCATGGACTGCCATCTCCCCAGGCTCCCAGCTCTTCCATTTCAAGGAGAACTGAGCCAACAACAAATACAGGCCGATTCTCTAGAGAGGAGCAGATCGGGGTGAGTGGGTGAATGACTTTGCATTTCTGGGGAAAGCTGTGTTGCCCTAAGAGAGTTGCTTTCCCTGCTGAGTAACTTTCCTTCCTCTAAAGGGAGGTGTCCTCAGGTGTTCTCTTCTCCTAGAGATTTCAAAGCTCACTTGTGCTCTCGGTAGGAAGGGAAGAAGTTTCCAAAGCCCCTGGGCAGCTTCAGGCTTGGTTAGAGTTCTGTTGTTGGAAGTGGAACAAACTTTTCTCATCAAGAGCAAGGAGGTGAAATTTGAGCTGGGAAACGAAGCTGCCTGGCCTTCAGTCCAACATGCCCTCAGTTAGGCTGTCAGTTTTTGATTTCTTATCTTGGTCAGGAAATGCAGAGTGGTTTCCTTCCTTCCTTGAGGCCTTTGGGTCGGCCCTGGGCTGCAGGGAGCTCCTTTGCCCTCTCTGACACATCTCTGAGCCTTCTCTGTGTAGCATGTCCTTGTGTTCGGCGCACACCTCGAGAATTGCCCTGGAAGGATGGGCACGGGCTGAAGTCTTCCTTTGCACAGGCATTGGGCACTCTGCGGCATCCCTGATTCTTGTCTGAGGGACTCCAAGCTGCCTGGCTCCATGTAGGAAGTGCAGAGGGTGACGAGCGCGCTGGGCCTGATGCAGCTGTGATGCCTCCCTCTATCCAGACGCTCCCCAGTGCACCACTGGCATCTTAGTGCAGGTGTTTATCCAGATTCATTCAGAAGTTAAATAATTGTATAGTTCTCCATGTGACTCTTTAAAGTGGAACTTTGGATCAAGAGCCTCGGGTTTGAACCCCAGCTCTGAGACTTCCCAGATGTGTAATCATGAGGAAGTCCTTGGGCATTTCTGAGTCTCAGTTTCCTTCTGTGTTCAAAGGGCCTACCATACCTTATCCTACCTACTTCAAAAGGTTTTTGTTAAGAAGGGGATAAGGATAGATGGGATGTGTCATTTCAGTGGTGATGGGAACTCCTGGAGAAGGAAGGAAATTCTCACCATGATTGCAGGTGGGCAGGTGCCTTCTCTGCATCGTAAGGTCTTAAAGAGCTCCCTCTGGCACTGACTGGTTCTGTGATGTGCCCAGGACTGTGCCTTGGAAGGTGTCAAAGGCAAGACATCAACTCCAAGTGCCCTGGCTCTGCAGTTGTCCTTCCACTGTCCATTACGCCCCACGGCTTTCTTTTGCAGAACTCTTTGAGTGCTGTAGAAATTTGAGTTGTCACTGGAATTGTTTCTTCTGATTGAGCGGTGACCTGTGGTTCCAGTTGCAGACACTTGATGTGGTTTCTTTTCCTGAGCCTGCTTCTGGATCTTGGTGGGTGGGTTGTTAGTGCCAGCGTTTTCTGTTGGCAGAGCCCCTTCCCACTGTAGAATGGGAGGCTGTAGAAGTCTGTCTGGGGCTGAGCAGAGGAAAGAAGAAAGAGGAACACCATTTCCTTTGGTTTTCAGTGTTTGAAGTTTTGTTCTTCTCTTATTTTCTTTGTTATTTCCCATAGTCTTACTGCTCTGACCCAGACCTGGTATTAGATTTGAAGAACCTCATTGTCCTCTTTGCTGACACACTTCAGGTATACGTGACTTCTGTTCGATTAAATTAACCTCAACCAGTGAGTAGTTCTCTACCTACATAAGTTTTGGGAAATGCCTTTGAAAGTTTATTTATATTTGTTTTTACCACGTGGCACCTCAGCTAGACTGTTATTATCTTCATGGTGTTCCATGCCCCACTCTGCCCTCTCCAGCCTACTTTGAGCCCTTCCTCTCTCACATTTAGAGAGTGCTGAGTAAGTTCTTACTTCCAAAGATCAGGAAGTGAGAATCTGGGCTCCAACCAAGGGTGTCTTTGAAGTTCCTTAGGCTCTGCCTTCTGGAGAAGTGTCGACTCATAGGAATCATACTTTAAGGGAGTCAGAGTGGTATATGGTGGGGAGGGGGCATGGGTTCCTCGCTTCCTTTTGGCTTTCATTAAGGAATGGGAAGAGGGGCAGCTCTTGTGTAGAAGGAGGTGGGAGTGGGGAAGGCTCAAGTGTCAGTACGCAGGATGTTGAAGGTGATCTTAATATTAGGAATGGTTTTAGCTTTCCAAAGCACAAGGTTTAAATCCATATGAGCCCTAGTCTGGCTACCTCTGGGGCAAGAATGGCAGGCCCACCCAATTAAGTCCCGTTCGAATTGGTAATCACGTAAGGAGTGATGCAGTTCAGGGCCTGCTCCTTAGCTGGAAAACGGGGGATCATAACAGCACCTACTTCCCAGGGTTGTTGTGATGATCCAGCGGGGGGGGGGGGGAACCTGCGACCTCTAGGCCCTCAAGTGCGGCCCTTTGACTGAATCCACACTTCTTGTGTGAAGTTTCAAAGGGTCGCACTCCAGGACTCAGAGGCCCACACGTGGCTTCGAGGCCGAAGGTTCCCCACTCCTGGGGATGTTGTTTGTAAAGTGCTTAGCACGGTGCCTGGTCCATGGTCAGCACTTCAGAAAGCTTCTTTCCTTCCTGCTCCCTCCCTGTTCTCATTTCTAGAGTTAAAAATAGTCGGGGAAAATGAAGCTGACTTATTCCTCTCTCCCAGGTGTACGGTTTCCCAGTAAACCAGCTTTTTGACATGCTGCTTGAGATCAGAGACCAGTACAGTGACACTCTGTTGAAGAAATGGGCAAGCGTTTTCAGGTGAGAACTGATGCTTCGGCCTGCTGTGTCTTCCATGTAGTTGCTTCTTCCACCAGGGCAATGTGAAATCTCTCTGCTCATGAGAATGAAAGAATTGTCACCCGGCAGCTGCCCTTGTCATGACGAGCCTGGGATTGTAGACATGAAGTCAGATGCTGGACTATAAGCCTGCCAGCTTGACATGCCCTGCCTTTGAGAGGCCATGTGATGCACTGGGTTTGAGTCAGAGGAACCAGGTTCAAATCTTACCTCTCTCACTACCTGAGTGACCTTAGGCTGTGCCAGTTTCTTCTTCTGTAGAGGGAGGGTGGAAGAGGGCTGAGTCTCTTTCAGCTTGGTGTCTCTGATCCTGTGCCCTGAGGAAGCACTGGGGGAGGATGGAAGGGCCTCAGTGAGACACGCTTCATGGCAGATGCTTGTGGCTGTGCCCAGCAATAGATTCTTGAGTTCAAAAACAACTGCGGGGCCTGGGTTAGAATCTGGGATCCATGTTGCTTCGAGGATAGCCCTAAGAACGATGCCTCTGACTGTTTTGGTGCTCCCTAAAACATGTTCAGTTGGTGATGACTATATATTGGTGAAATACAACCATGAGTGAAACGTGTCCTTGTGCCTTTTTAGGGTAAGTTATGGCCTCGGGCAGTTCCTGGCACAGCGTAGGAGCTTAATAAGTGTTGATTGACTGGTCAGGTCCATGGTGTCCCTTGGAGAGTGATGTTAGTGTTGACACGGGGGCCTTCTGCCACGAAGTGTGTCTCACTGTGGCCCTTAACATCTTCCTTCAGTCCTCCGGTGGGGCACAGAGCTGGAAGGGAGTCAGAGGCTCTAGTCCAGCCTCGCTGTACAGAGGAAGACATTGAGGCTCAGTGAGCAGCTGAGTGGTGCAGTGGGTATAGCTCTCGGTCTGGAGTCAAGAAGACTCGTCCCTCTGAGTTCAAATCTAGCCTCAGACACTGACTAGCTGTGTGACCCTGGGCAAGTCCCTTCACTCTGTTTGCCTCAGTTTTCTCATCTGTAAAATCAGCTGGAGAAGGAAGTGACAAACCACTCCAGTATCTTTGCCAAGGAAACCCCATGAGGGGTCACTGAGAGTCGGAAATGACTGAAAACGAGTGAACAGCAAGCACAGAGGTCACCCAGGGAGCCAGGGAAAGAGGCAGGCTTTGAGTTCAGTCCCTCTGATTCCAAAGCCTCATCAGCAGTGTCGACCCCAGGACCCCGGCTCCATGTCATTAGGCTTATGAGAAAACCAGCTTGAGAGAATCTGTTTATTTCCCAAGCAAATGAACCCTGGTTTGTCTGCTTTAAAAGAAGCAGGATTCTTGGGGGAGGGGGGAGGGTTGGCATCATAGCAGTAATGCCCTCATGGTCCCCAAATTTCCCGAGAGTCCCTAGGCTTGCCTTGAAACCTTCCTGGAAAATGACGTTTTGGCTTGGAGTTTTCATTCTGTCTACAGACCTTTCTCCAGGGCTCTAGAGGGAGAATGAGATGAGGAAGACAGTCTCTGTCTTCAGAGAGTGGAAGGACATGGCCCCAGGGCCTCCGCAACAGAAAGCTCTCTTAGAGTCCACCAATGGTAATTTCTGACTTCCATCATAGACTGGTGCTGTGATTTCAGCCGCAAGGACCATTATCTTTATATAGAAGCCTTTTACCTTTTTTTCTCCAGCCATGGTGGATCATTCATTTAATGTAATGCTGGCCAGTCAGGATATTGAGCCACAATACCTCATGTTCTCTGAGTAAATTCAACTTAATGAAGATGATAATAAAATATCTTAATTGTTTCTACTTTAATTAGAGCCCATATGTTTTGGGGAGGGCCTTTGCAATAGGAGCTCCTGGTATAGATGGTCAGGCAGAGCCCATATGAACCAGCCTTCAGATGACCTAGAAAGCACCCAACAGAGATGTGACTGAGGCCTCGGGGAGAATCGTCTCTTTGTTTGGCACAAAGCCTGCCTAGATCTCTTACCTGGAGGATCCACTTGGCACTTTTCAGAGCTCACATTTTTCTAGTTCTCACATTTCCATTTGTGATTCTCCTTCTAGTAGAGGCAGCTATTGAAGCATATTGGGAAATCTGGTCACCTTTGGGAGTCAAAAAAGTCAACATGGAAACCATGCTGAGAGCAGGGAGGCACAGGGCTGTACAGCATCCTGACTGCTACCTTTGAGCTGCCATTTTGCAAGGACTGAGGTGAAAAGGGGATGTATCCAGGGTTAGAGGAAGGCGTTAGTCTGAGGGACAGGTCAGCAAGCTCTTTGGCCATGATTATTTTCTGGCTGAGATACAGATCCTCTTCCAGGACAGTATTGATTTGGTAGCAGTGGGTTTTTTAAACTTCTCTCCTTCTCTTTACATGGAAATTCCTGTTTGGGTCTTGAGATAATTCACTTTTTCCTCTCTCTAGAAACATACTTGATTCAGACAACTACAGCCCCATCCCAGTTTCCAGTGAGGAACTCTATAAGAAGGTGGTTGGACAGTTCCCATTCCAAGATACAGAGCTGGAAAAGGTCAGGAGAACTTTCCAGTCACTGGATTCTTCAGAATCTTTTCTTTCTCTTTCCTGAAAGTGACCCCTTTTAACTCCCTTGGTAGAGACTGGGCTTAGCCTCACCTGCCCGTACCACCCAGAGGCTGGAGGAGGGGAGGGGTCCCCTGGAGCTGCTCTCCTCGGGGAGGTCTGGACCCTGGGATGTTGTTTGTTGCTTTCTTCGGCCCCCATTTGTAAGGGGCTGCTTAACTCCAGCCCCAAGAAGGGAGGTCTCAGAGAGATGGTCTCCACAGGAGGAATGAGCTACTCTCTCGCCTTCAGTTGAGGCGCTTATTCCTTTTGGCTTGTAACTTGTTTATGAAGATCTTTAATGTCTGCTGGCTTGTGACTCAGTGCCTTTATTTCCTGCATTTACAGCAGCCGTTTCCAAAGAAGTTTCCTTTCTCTGAATTTGTGCCTAAGGTTTACAATCAAATTAAAGAATTTATCTACGCCTGTCTTAAGTTCTCAGAAGATCTCCATCTGAGGTATAGTATGAGACAATGCAAACACAGCCGGTGCCAGGGCCTTGCACTCTCTAGACAAAGACATTCTGAACAATCTTCCATGTTCTCCTTGAGTTGGAAGACCTACCCTGGCCTCCGCCCAGTGTGCCTTTGGAGGGAACAAAAAGCAGGGAAGTCTTTGGAGCCTTTTTTCCCCTTGATTCTATTCCTTCTACCAGATTTGCTTGGGGCCCTTTCTTTCCCTAGTGCAGGCCGATAATCAGGATGTGCAGCGTTGCACAACTTTGCCTCCAGGGTCCAGCTTCCCCTTCCTTTGCATGGTTACATTTTAAGGCCAGCTGATTTCAGGCCAGGAGTTGGTGAATTGTCTTGCAGGGATCGGGGAAGAGGTTTAGTTTTATTTTTCATCTTTCCCACAAAATGTCTTGTAGGTTGATTAGAGGTAGCTGTTCAAAGAGAGTATTAGTGTATTTCATTTCTGTTCAGAGAGAATATTAGTCTTTTGCTACTATTAAAAGCAAAACATTAGTCTTGAGGAGTTTACAGTTCCTTATTCTGACTGGGCAGATTTTTGTTTGATTTCCACAAAATAGTGTTTTTAAATTTTATTTTAAAAATATGTATGGAGTGTCCACATGAGTAGTCTTCTCAGATGGTCTGCTAGACCATCTTTTAATGATATCAGGATAAGAGTGGATGAAGTAGATAGGTTGACCCCTCAGCATGAGCGAGGGCCACGCCTGGAGAAGCCAACCGTGAAACAGAGAGAGGTTGCCATTATGTAATTCTAGCTCCATTTTCTTCCCACCTTCATCCTCTGCTGGTGAAACGTGGGTCGGGTTTTTCACAAGACATGTATATGACACTCCATGATAGTTCGGCTGAGTTTTACGATTGCTTATGTGAATAGAGATTGAACTTAATTTTCACTCTCTTCTCCTGATTCCACCATTTAGAAACAAAAAATGTTGTAGCATTTGAATAAACAAACCCCATAAATAGTCTGTTGAGTCAGTCTTTCTCAGCTTTGCCCTCTGAGTTAGGATAAAAGGTGGTGTTAGGAAGCCAACTTGCTCTCTGACCTTCCTGTGAAATGTTGCCAGGCTCATAGAGATGTCAGATTTCCCCGACTCCTGGAGCGGAGATGCTCCCTGTGGATTACAAATCAGGACTTCAGTTCTTTTCACCATGACCAAGATGATGGCTTTTGTCATTGAACTACCTTCTTATGTCCATGGATGAATGTTATTAAAATTCTTTGAATGTGGCTAGCTTTAGAAAAAGCTATGTGGCCCTGCTTTTTGGCGGGGAAGTAAAAGGTTGAAGGCAAAGTATGGGCAAAGCCAGTTAGAGCCTTCCTCCTGCTCAAGCTTATGAAGTATTTGCCTGAAAACCCTAGTTGACACTTTCTGCATTTCACACTGACAGTTTGAATGAGGTTTTTATTAAGAAGTTTGCTTGCTAAGCTGACAGCAAGATTCCAACCGCCCTCCCCAACTTCTTTCTTTCTTTTCTTCTTTTCTTTTTTGGGGGGAGGAGGGTTGTCATTTACCTTACACCCTGGAGTGACTGGGGTCAGTCTGTCAATCACAGCTGACTTTGAGGTCACAGCTACTGTTACGGGATATGAGACATTAGCTGTCATGAACACAGACAGTTTTTTTTTTATGTTTTAAAGCACTTGGCTAGCTTTTTCTTTTCAGGAAAACTAGGCCGTATAGGCAGAAAATCAGGGGAGGTGGAGTTTTGAATGTGGGTTGTTTTTTCAGGGGAAAGGGGGGAGGTGAAATTTATTCTCTTGAATCAACTTTTCGTTTTTGTCAACCAAAAAAAGGGGAGGGGGTATCATCTCCTTTACATTGTCCAGAATTCATTGAAAGGTATTAATAACATTTAGAGGAGACTGCCTTAATTACATGTTTTCTGAGGACATAGGTCTCCTTTTGAATGAAAGTTCATGTAAAAAACAACAGGGAAATTATGTCTTTAGGGGGAAAGAGTTTTCTGGCAGCCATGGTTGACTTGGTTTTTTTTTTCTTTTATTATTTTGGTTTTGGGAAATAAGGAGTACATATTGTCTAAAGAATGAAGTGAGTGAAGGAGGAGATGAGAAAAGTTGATCAGTCCTGTCCCACTGCCCAGTCTTTAGCTGGCGTGGATAGTGAAAATCAACCCCAGTTGGAGGGAGAAGACTACACTTCACATTAGAGAGGGTTCTGCAAGGGAGACTGGTAAAAATCACAGAATTCAGTGAATTGTGTAATTTCTATGTCCTTTTACTCTAACCCTTTCCTCTCTCTTGGGCAAAGGCATTCTGGTAAATAAGTCTCCAAAATGGAAAAGCCCATGGAACACATTTATCCAGCTTGTTTTTGGTGTTGAGCTTAGATTGACTCCTAGGGACCACAGCCCTTGTCTGGTTATAGAAGGCACATTTTTCTCTATGGTTTTGTAAATGATTGATACTCGTTGTGTGTCAGGCCCATGAGACAGTGTCACAAGGACCTGATCTCCTCATTCTGTAACAGGATTTTTCATTTCCTTCTTGGCCAGAAAACTTCCCATGACTTGGTTGTGATAGTTGAATAAAAAGTGATATACTTTAAATGCTGTTCCCACAAGACAATCAGAACTGAAAAGGAGCTTATTGTGCATTAAGTAGGGTGAAAACACCCTGGAATATCAGAGCCCAAATCCAGAACTTCCACATTGAAAAAACAAAAGTACTACAAATCCTAGAAAGTACCAAGAAACCCGCATCTGCGTCACACAACTTCTGTAAAGAGGAGAACATCTTGGCATATATTTCTGAAGATAAAATCTAAACTTACAACCAAATATAATTTATCTGGCAAGAATGAGTGTCATCCCACTGGGAGATAAATGGGCCTTGGATAGAATAGAGTACTTTTGGGAATTCCCAGTGAAAAGACTTGAGCTGGAACTTTGAAAGGCAAACTCAAGCAACAGGAGAGACCTAGAAAGGTAAATATGTTTGAGCCTGTGTAAGGGTCTAAATAATGGTGAACTGCTTATATGCTAAGAGAGGGAAAAAAGAGAAGCCCCCTTCACAACTCCACAGAGGGGGATCAGAACGACAAAGGTAGGACCTGTGGTTTTAATATATCTTGTTGGTTTTAAAAAAAAAGAAAAGAGGGGTAAGTAAATTAGAAATATACCAGGGGAAAAGTGAGAAAGAAAGGGATGGAGCTTACCTTTTGTCATCTTTGGGGTGCGTAGAAGATTATTCAAATGGGAAGGTTAGAGTTGTAGGGCTGGGTATCTCATTAAACTAATTTTTATTTGAAATTTACAAATGAGGGTTGAACACAAACAACAGCAACATTCCTCAGTATAAAGCACCAAACAAAGTTTTTATGCTCACGTTTCATTTTTAGTTGGCTACCAGTAAACAAATCATTCTGTGTATTTAAATGGCAGGGTTTGAGAAAAGATAAAAATTATCTATTAAATATTAAGAATTCATAAAAAAGTTATCCCTTTCTTTACCTTGCTTGTATAGAGGGAAGCAAAGATGAAGAGAGGAAAAAGTATAGTAGGGTATACTTATAACACTTATATTAATACTTACATACTTGTAAATATGAACATGGATGGTATGAACTCTCCCATGAAGTGAAAGAGGGCAGCAGAATGGGCTAGATGATAAAAGTCCAACAATAAGTCGTTTATAAGAAATGTTTAAAACAAAGATTCACAGAGTTAACATGAGAGGGTGTAGCTGAATTTATTATGCCTAAGACAGACTAAAAAAAGCAGGTATAGCAATCATCATAGACAAAGCAACAATAAACATGGAAATGATTAAAAGAAACAAGAAACTCCATTATAGATAAAAAACATCATAGGGAGTGAAATAAAGTCAGCACTAAATATACGTGCACCAAATGGCATAGCATCTAAGTTCTTGAAGGAGAGGTTAATCTAATTACAGGGAAAATAGCAAAACTAAAATTATTGTGCGTTTTTCATCTCTAGATGAATCTAATCAATAGATGGACAAGAAAGACAGTAAAGACCTGAATATAATTTTAGAAAGGACAGATATGATAGATATCCAGGAATTACTATGTAGGAACCAAAACGAAACTTCTGAAGGGGGAGAAAACAGAACTAGATGGATTTACAGCTGAATTCTAGGAAACATTTAAAGGACAATTAATTCCATTATCACACAAAATTGCATAAATTATGTGCAAAAAGAGTAAAAGAAGAGAGCTCATCAGATTGCTTGTATGAAACAAATATGGTATTAATACCTAAACTGGAGGGGCAGCTGGCTGGCGCAGTGGATAGAGCACTGGCCCTGAATTCAGGAGGACCTGAGTCCAAATCCAGCCTTAGACACATAACACTTACTAGCTGTGTGACCCTGGGCAAGTCACTTAACCCCATTGCCTAAAATAACAACAACAACAACAAAAAATACCTAAACTGGAGCAGGATAAATCAGTGGAAAAAAACTGTAGAACACTTGCCCTAATCAATACCAACACAAAAATATTGAATAAAATATTAGCAAAAAGCTATAGCAACATATTTGAAAGATTATGTGACTAGGTTGATTTAAATTAGGAATGCAGGGTTGGTTCAGTGTTAGGAAAACTATGACTGTACCAGACCATACTGATAACAAAAAACAATAAAAATCATATGGTTATACACAAAGGAAAAAAAACTGCATCAAATACAGCACCCATCTATCTTTTTAAAAAAAGATTCAAAATCATAGGAATAAATAGACCTTTCCTTAATATGGTAAATATCTCTTTAAACTGGGGCTTCTCTGCCTGAGGTCTGTGAATTAAAAAAAATTTAAATAATTGTATTTCAATATAATTGGTTTCCCTTTTAATAAAAGACATTGTTCTAAGAGTGCATCAGATTACCAAAGGGGACTACGATTAAACATACACACGTGCGCACGCGCACGCACACACACATGCGCGCGCACACACACACACACACACACACGCCCATACACATTCATCCCAATAAGA